GAACCTCCATGGCCACAAGGGGATTTTTATTCCTCATTAAATTTGAACATGAAATCTCTAGATAATTTTAATATTTGGAGTCAAGTTCAAACCAATCAGACATCACCCTTATGGTTAATTAATATATCATTTGATGTTATACCAAAAGGAGTGCAAGTTACAACTACTCAAAAACATTATTTAATGTTAGACAAACATAATCAATGGCAGACTGTTAAGGTTCGAGCGAGATCTCGTGAATATGATCAACTTAGTAAATTAAGAATTACTATTGTTATTTCAACGTTAATAGCAACTTAACAAATTAGTGACTAATAGAAACTTTTTCTTTGGGTCCCATTATAATTTCAAAATAAATAATATGAATATAGAAATAAAAAGGGATATATATATATATATATATATATATGGTATATTTCTTTTACAACCTTGTGCATTTGTACAACCCTTGCAACCTAATTAATTATAGAAATGATGGGAGTTCATTTATTATGATTTGAATATTTATGGAATATGAATAGAGTTCATTTATTATGATTTGAATATTTATGGAATATGAATAGAGTTMATTAATTATGATTAATAATTTATATTAGGAAACAATTAATTGATTAAAAATTGAATGGTTGAGATGAGGGTTGTATAGGGTGTAGGAATGGCAAAGGGTGTAGAATAACATCCCTCTATATATATATATATATATTGACTTATAAATACTCTTTCAATTTCTAGTTTTATAAGAGCACCCATAATGAAAGTTCTTTTTAATAGAAACTTCACTGTTGAGCATAGGTTTTTGTCTAGTCATAAATTCTTGTTGAAATCTAAGTGATTGAGAAAGAACCCGAGTTCTCATATATATTTCCTTTTTGTTATTATTTTATTTATTATTTTTATTATTTCTTAAATATTTTATTTTCTTTTAATAAATCTATAAACTTTTAGAATTGATATAGAAAATATAAAATAATCGTTTAGTTTTATTTTCTTTTTTGTTTCTTGTAAAATTGTATACAAATTTATATCGTTTTGTTTATTATGTTTGGATTAATTTTCATAAACTTATATATATATAATTATAATTAATTTATAAATCGTAAATTAATAATTGTAAAATATATTCTCAATTTTTGTAAAAATATACCAAATTTGTTATATAGATGTCACCATATGAGTCATTCCTTACACCTCTCCTTTAAAGAAAATGGAAAAAGACATTAAGGATCAAGAAAACTCTCAAATACCCCAAGCTCTCCGTATTCTATTAATAAAGTTATACTTTATAAATTAAGAAAATGGAAAGTGAGGTTTTTATACAAATCTTCATTGAGGAGTTTTATTAAGGTTTCTACTTTGTTGAGGTGATTATTATATGACTGAAAAAAATGGCAAGATTTTTAGAGGTTCCTGTTAGAATTTCTGGTTTTCGATTGTTTGGAATCCACTGAAAGTCGTGTATCATTTTTAGATTGAAGTATTTCGATGGTACAATCGAAATCTCAATCGGATAAAATTCAGTGGTTGACAGAACAGGGAATCCAAATCGTTATGAATCCGTGTACCTCTAAAGACAAAATGACCAATTCAAAATTTGAATACGGAAACTGTCAAAACGATAATTTTTTGAACCCTAGACCGGGTTTAAAAGCGGCCAAAAATCGGGTTTAAAATGTAAAATTCGGATTTCTGATGCATTTTTCACAAAACAATATTACCCGAATAGGGGGCTCTGCCCCTTGGACCCCGCCACCGGGGGGCCGCCCTGGACCCCCGTCGTTTAGGGGATCAAAATAAACTCAAACAAGTGTGCGGTTCGCACCTTCCTTACTTGTTCGATATTTATCATGATTACATTGGTAAACAAATTAATCTCATTACACTTAAATGATATTAGTGATACAAATCACCAACAGTTCCACCACTGTGGATGGTCTAAATCACTATTCTTTTGACTTATAAAAAAAGAAAATTGAATCAAAATGGAACTTCAAAACCTGATTCCTATTTTGAGGAATTAACTTTTAAAATCGTTACTTACGTTGTGTTCTCCAAACTTTTTTTTCCATTAATTTTTTTTATTATTTAAATAAAAAGCCTCCGCCCAATTCAAAATAATTTTTTGAATTCAGAAATAAAAATACAAAAATTTGAATTCAAAAATAGCTTTCGTTACAAACCACAAAATTAAAAATATTATTAAAAAATTGCAAAAAGAGGCTTAAAACACAAATGATAGACAAATGGGTGGAGCCCATGAAAACGGCGATACAACCGTTGGCCACAGCTGTTGGGCAACCCCACACACATACACACACCCACCCTGTCAACAGTCGGGCAGTTCGGTCAGCCATGCCTCTACAGTGCAGTCCTTCCCCCACCACTATATAAACCCCCTCCACTTCCACCTCCATCTCCACACTCCACTTCAATCACCATTTCCAACCATCAATCTTCCAAATCTGTTCACAGAGTTTTTGCTTTCAAATCACAGCAATGGAATCAATGAAGATGAACCTCTTCGCCATTGTCATCGTCATGTTGATGGCCATATCTGCTATCAGTAATGTGGCAGCTCAAGAAGCTCCGGCCGCGGCACCTGGTCCGGCCTCCGCCGCTAGCGTCTACGTCCCTACCGCACTTATATCTCTCATCGCTATTTCGTTCGGTTTCTTATTCTAGATTGATCTGATTAATTTCTCTTCGTTGATGCCGGGAAATTGTTTTGTTTTGTTATGAGATGATTTGTTTGCAGTGATCGTACGCAGCTTTTCCTTCTTCGATCTCCGCATTTGATGAGGTGTTGAGGTTCTGATGGAAGAGCTTTGATATCATTTTGTTCTTCAATTTTTGTATGTGAATGAATTCATTCTTTTGTTGCATGTATCCTTGATCATTATTAGTTTTATAAAATTCACTTGCGATAGTGATGTTCAGATCCACAAATCTCGTGCCTCGATCGAAACTTTCGTTTATTCAAGTTGATTAATAGATATAACTTCTTCCGATTGTCTCCATTTTTGTTGAATTTCTGTTTCTCGAATGATAACAGCCATGGATACTCACAGATCTTTCTTCTGATTGTTTCAATTTTCATTTGAATCCATCCGTTATTCTTTAAAACTCGTATTTGCTTGTTTCAGTTTTCATTTACAGTTTTCATCTGATTGTTTCAATCGTATTTGATTCTAAAAAGCTCGTTCCAGATTGTTTCAATTTCCTGTGAATTGTTTCAATTTACGCTGCATTTGTGCCTTTTGAATGATCATAGCCACAAGTGATTACAGGTTTTTACGCCTAAACATAACTCGAATTGGATTTGAGGATGAGAATGGGGATGGAGATGAGATTGAAAGCGCATGTTCAAAGTAAGATATTTGTTGTCTGCCACATGTTGTTCTGGAAGATAGATTTTGAGTACGTACAGTTGGGAAGAGGCCACATATGAATTATTAATTCGATGCAAAAGAAAATATAAGAAAAACAATATGACAAAAAGGTTATTAACTATGGGGTATCTGTGATTGTTTATAAAAATAATTTATTGACTTATTTCGGCCTGACATTGGTAAAAAAAGGTTTTTGAAAAAGTTAAACCATTTTAACTTATAATAAATTAATAAAAACTTTTGTAGAAAAATATAAGTTGTTTCAAATAAATAATCTCAAACAACCCATCACTATTGACCATTAATGATTATTAAGTTAATTAATAAAAATTAAACAAACACTAAAATTAATAGAAGTAATAGAGTATTTTCGACAACTATGTCATTTTAAAAAAATTAAAGTTTTGGAAAAAATTTGTTCCAACAACTATACTAAACTCTTATTTAAAATAATAATAATAAAAATAACGGGGAAACTCTAAATTTGAAAAACATAATATAACATACATATTGAAGATGCTTTCGGCCTGTATCATATATTTAATATTTTTGCAATTAATTATGTTTTGGTTTTATGGTGTTTGAAACTGATATATTTTTGCAAATATATTTATTAATTACTATTAGTTTTGCATATCTAATATATTTCTCCAGCTAATATGTGTTAATTTAATGTCTTATATAATCGTTAATATTTGAAAATAAATTAAAGTTTGAATCGATATTTGAGAGTAACCATAAACTATATCTTTATAAGTAATCATACATATTTTTAAATACATGTAATAATTCGTTACAAACAAGTCGTTGAAACCATGATGGTATGATGAAGTAAACGTTATAAATAGAATGGTATACGTCACATATGATGCTTAGCAGCTCACTAGATTTTTTTAATGATAACATATCCTATATACGACAATTCACTTAAAAATTATTTACAGTAACAACAAAAAAGCAAAATTACTTCTACGGGCCGTTTACTAAACACTTACTTGGTAAGTACTTAACGTGTAAATTTCGTCATCGGATGAACATGAGAATGATCAAGAATCTCACCGGGTAAGAGCGATAAGAAAGATGGGGAGTCTTACCCGGTAAGTGAGGATGAAGACTCTTACCCAGTAAATTGTTGCATTCGATATGTTTTGATGTACTAAAATTTTACGCATCAAAATAAATTATAATGTTGACTCATATTGGTAAGCGCTTACCGAGTAAACATTTCAGTATACGGCCCCTTAGTTTAAAATTATATGGTGGTTAAAATTTAAAAATAAAAACTTTAGTGTTCAAAATAAAAAAAAAAATCAAAATAAAGGTCGCAGCCAAATAGTGCGATGGGCTTCTGTATTTGGGCTTGAAGAGCCCATAAACCAGAATCATTTTCCTATAAGAAACCCTAAAAACACTCGCTTCCTCCTCAAAGCTTTCATCACCATTGGAGCCTTTCTGAAGTTCTTCATCTCTTTGAAAGATCGATCTCATTCGAAGCGCATGTAGTTGAAATCTGAGCTTAACGTGTATCATAGATTTCAATGATTTGCGTGTTGATTTACAGAACGAATCAATGCCTCTATAGAGTAGCCGTGTGAATGCTTTTCAGGATTTCATATCGCGCTTAGTTAGGAGGCTTATATCGAATATGTTCCTGTCTCTAGATTAAAACGTGAATCTTCATCGATTAACTTTTTATTTTGGATCTGGAACTACTGAGACCTCTTGAGGAGTTCATTTGTTTTACCATCAATTTTCTCCCAAGCAGTCTCAGATATTTCATGGTTTGATATATGCGTTTATAGGTGCTTGTTTTCGTTTATGAAATTGCCCTCGAATAATCGGATGTTTGGGAAGAAATTCAATCCCGTTCGGTTCAGACAGGGGCGTATAGTAACGGTGTTGAACTTGTTAATCAGATTGATGATTTTTAAATCTTCTGAATCAGTTTGAAGTTAAGGAACTTTGCTGAACTCATGTTCTCTGTTCCTTCACCTACATTTATTCACATCTATTTAAGTATGTACATCTGATAAATACTTCCATTCTTATTGATTTATATTTCTCGGCAATGACTTGAATGATTTATCCGCGCTTCTGAGAGGAATCAATGAAGTAAAGGATATAAAATGGTTGAATTTCTTAATATGAGCCGATTTGTATAAAATTGTCAAAATTTCGTTTTATTTTATTATTGATTTTGAGTTGTTTTTTCATTCATGATTTCATTTATCAGATTTCAGTTGATTTGTTATCAATTCGAATGGTGATTCTCTAATATTTGAATCTGCCGATGATGATAAAATCCAAATGTATGAGATACGGTGGATCCGAGACCTTGTTTTACAGGGAGAACCACTTGGTTGAAGCTGTATTTCACTTGATAATACTGGATTTAGTTGAGGCTTAAGCTCTTTCATTATATGATATGTTCTTTTATATTATTTAAATGATGATTTGTTGTGTTTAAACTATACTCTTTGACTCTGAATTATGTAACGGGTTTGGAGTCGTGAAAAACTCAAAAAGTAAAGTGTTGTCATCAGCTTCTTCTTTTGTAGTAACATTTAGGCGTGATCAAAAAACACGATCAAATGAACTCAATCCAATGCGAAATAACTCAATTCGAAGCAACAGTTTATTGAAGTTGTAAAATTTTCAAACTGTAAGGATTGGATTGATATTATTTGAACCCAATCTAACTTGATATCTATTTATTTCTTGGATTTAATATGATTGTTGAATTTCTATTAATATATACAGTAAACATGTAGACTATCACGAACGCTATTCTTTTACATATATTTTAAATTTATTCACATATCTATATAACTTATTTATATATAAGTTTAGTAATTATAAACACATATACAAATTGAGAAAATTAGCTGAATATGATATAAACAATAAGTATGAATAAGTTGTTTCAAATGGTTGACGATGTAAAATAAATTATGAGTAGAGATATAAAGTATTTAAGGTAAGAAAAATATTTTAATGTATTAAAGTAATAATCCGATTAACCAGACCAACCTGTAGGGTTGGGTTGGGTTGCACATGCCTTTGGTTGATTAAAATTTTTCAAATTACAAGCTTTGAGTTGGGTTGTTTAGTTTTGAGTTGAGTTGTTTGAATGTCTTTAATCTGATCAATTCAGGGAAACTGGAGTTAAATAATAGCATTGGATTTATACTTCTATTATAAAAGACGTGACAAATCAAATATTCTTTTTCACCTGTAAAGTTTTATTATGCCGATCTTTTTCAAAAATAAATATTTTATTTGTAAAGAATGCAATCCTTCTTTTTATTCTTCTTTAAAAAATACATTTATTTAAATATTTTTTTTTTAAAATGTTAGCAAAATAGATTTTGATGTAATAAGTCTTTTTAATATGGGTATATTATTTGTGTGTCTGTGCAATACGGTGGGATGTATGGTTTCATTCTAAATAGAGAAAACACATTTGTACATAATGGCTTAGGGGATGTGTGACATTTATTTTGAATGTATAGTCTAATTGATAAAAAGAACTTATCCACAAGCAGTTTTGTAATTTAACAGCTATCACATCTATGTGATTTATATCCACCAATCTTGTTGAGACAGTAAAAAAAAATGCATTTTTGTCCTAGTATGATGTTGCACCAAATTTGAGACAACAAGTTTTTTTTTTTATCATCACGTTCGTTAAAAAGACACCCTTACTATATCCCTGTGGTAAATGCAGCCAGATATATAAAAATGTTCAAAATGCTTACCATCGTAAATACGAGAACACTTAAAAATCTTCAAAATGGTTTACATGTTAGATTACAGAAGTCGATCATTTCCAAGAGTACCAACAATAACCTACTATAAATAGAAACACAGAAAAAGCAAGCAAACCAGTCTAAAGAAAATCAAAACATAGTTTATAACAAGTAGCTAAGTGCTCATTGTTCATCATGTTGTAAAGATCTAAACCCACTTATTTGTTATTAAACAACTATTTTGGTCAATGTAAAAAGGGATTTGATTTTGACAGAGGAAATTAGCATACAAAGGGAGTTCCCTTTTTCCATTTTAAAAGAGTCTAGTTTTGGTGAAGGAGAAAGAGAAGCATTTTGTCATCAAACTTGATCAAGGCAAATTTCCCATCTAGGTTCACTTCAAGAAACCTACAGAAACACAATCATCCTTCAGAAACCCACAAGAAAACCATATTTTTCTTGGGTGAATTCAAAATTCTTAAAGAATGAGTACATCACCATGAACCTATAAACAGATTCAAAAAAATCCATAGAAATTATCATAACAACCAACTTTTGAAGTGTTGTCATAAGTTGAGACTGAAAACACTAATGAAACAATATAATTAAGAAACTCAAGCATAAACAAACATGAATTCAAGCCTGAATCAGTTATCCACAATTACTCTATCTCAAAATAATAGTCTATAATTAAAAATAGAAACTATATCTTTTTTCTATCATACACTTATTTTGGGACCGAATAATTACATATTTCTAAAATTGTTTATTTTTAATTATAAAATAGAGATAATATCAAGAATAAAATAAATTTATATAATATTTTAAGTGGGTTGAAAACGGGTCAAAAAAATTCAATCCAACCCAACCCATTTATTTAAATGGTTTAGACGAATTGATCCATTTATTTAAATTGGTTGAAAATCTCAACTCAACCTGCTAATTCTGGGTTGGGTTCGGGTTAGGTTAATGGATTGGGTCATTTTTTGCCACCCCTAGTAATATGTAATCCTTGCATTTTATAATTAAGTAAAAAACAACCGAGAAAGCAAAATTCATTTCATTAAAATAAACTAAAATAAAAATATAAAAAACTTATTTTTGGAAATATGATACAAAAAAAATATTAATTACTTTCTAATTTTAGAAAGCTTGGCATATAACTAATTAGAGGCAGTCCGCAACAACCTCTTGCCCAAACAAATCTCTAATTTTGATTCATTTTTACACTTGACATTTTCCTAAATTAACCAATTTATATCAAATAAATGTTCTTCCTTTCTTCTTCATTAATTTCTCTAAAACAGAGAAATGAGAGAGATCGTAAGCATTCACATCGGCCAAGCCGGAATTCAGGTCGGAAATTCTTGTTGGGAGCTTTATTGCCTCGAACACGGCATTCAGCCCGATGGATTCATGAATAGGTTTGCACGTTTTTTGTTTTATTCATGGATACGAAAGAATTCGATTAGTTTTGGTATATGCATTAGTGAATCATCTAGAATCACTTGAGATTCCATGAGCGACAAGCATACTTGTTACTTTGGACCAGATGTTGTATTTGTTTAATGGGTAAACCGTTGGAGTTTCATATCGTCAACATCTGAAACCTCCTTTTTGTCCTTGATGACTCTTTTAGATGGTAATTTAATTGAGTTTAACATACTTTCAGATGGTATCAGAATCAAAGTTTACCATTTTAGAGCTTTGACACCTTGAGACTATCTATCCAGCCTTCTTTACAGGGGCATGTTAAAGTGTCACGTCAGCTAAACTTGAACAATTTTTCTTCAATATATGTTGGAACCTTCACTTTCATATAATTTATAAGAGGGGGTTTATTTAGGAACCTCCAATTATTTAGGTACAAAGAAACACTTTTTTGTGAATATTCATAATGAATAATATAATAAAATACGCCTGACTATTAATATTCATCATGAATACTCACAAAATAGATGATTTATGGGTTACCGATGAATATGTTAATAAATAAATGATTAAAGTTTTGAATATTTTTTTCTGTAAATTTTTTGTTGAGATGGTATTTAACATTACGAGTTCTTATCATGTGTTATGAGTTTCGTGGCAGTGGTAATTCCCGTGGCTCTGGCGACGACTCGTTCAATACATTCTTCAGTGAAACCAGTTCCGGGAAGAACGTTCCGAGGGCCGTATTTGTCGATCTCGAACCATCGGTTATCGATGAGGTTCGGAATGGTGTTTACCGACGGCTATTCCATCCTGAACAACTCATTTCCGGCAAAGAAGATGCCGCCAATAACTTCGCTAGAGGACATTACACAGGTAATCATAGTTTGTAACATTTTCATGGTTTCATACATTTATATACAGAGCGGGATTTGGGATCACGTAAGACCAGTCTATTTTCGTGAGGGAGATTAGACCACTTTTTTACACTACAAACTTCACAACAAAATGCTGTGAAGGTAACTTTCACAGTGTTTTTGTTGTGAATGTTCGGCTTTTTTCACCTTCACAACGTTTTGCTATGAAGTTTCAAGTGTAAAAAAATGGTATCGGGTCTCACGAAAACAGGTTGATCTCATGATCAACAGATTATTATAGTCTCACGATCAGCTAGATTTTGATGATTTTGATGCTTTTGATGCAATATACGTTGGAATCTCAGTATGTTATTTAGGGCTGTTTTGGAAAGTAATTTAGTAGGGTTTCACGTATTACCGCACAAACAATTGATAGACGTCAAAATGAACTTGTGTGCAGTGGGCAAAGAAATTGTTGATACATGTCTTGATCGAGTGCGAAAGTTAGCCGACAATTGCACCGGCTTGCAAGGTTTTATGGTCTTTAATGCCGTTGGTGGTGGTACCGGTTCAGGATTAGGATCGTTGCTTTTGGAACGGTTGTCCGTGGAGTATGGCAAAAAGCCGAAACTCGGCTTCTCAATCTTTCCATCTCCGCAGGTGTCGACTGCAGTTGTGGAACCTTACAACAGTGTGTTATCGACTCACTCGCTTCTTGAACACACAGATGTGGTGGCGTTGCTCGACAATGAAGCGATATACGATATATGCAGGCGGGCGTTGGATATTGACCGGCCAACATACACGAACTTGAACCGTTTGATCTCGCAAATAATCTCGTCTTTGACTACATCGTTGAGGTTTGATGGAGCTATTAACGTGGATATCACGGAGTTCCAAACGAATCTAGTTCCGTACCCACGTATCCATTTCATGCTTTCATCATATGCACCCGTGATCTCATCCGCCAGAGCCTACCATGAGCAGAACTCGGTGCCTGAGATCACGACTGCGGTGTTTGAGCCATCGAATATGATGGCTAAATGCGACCCGAGACATGGGAAGTACATGGCTTGTTGTTTGATGTATCGTGGCGATGTTGTTCCGAAGGATGTTAATACTGCTGTTGGTTCTATTAAGACCAAACGTACCGTTCAGTTCGTTGATTGGTAAGCATGTGTCATATGAAGTCAATTTTATTCTATTGAATTCTTTAAAAAAAATTAATAAAAACTTTTTTTCTTAAAAAATGGTATACACATGCTTTGCCAACTAAGCATGTGGGTCCAGTTTTTTGGAAAAAAAACTCATATAAAAAAGCTTATCACTGTAGATGCTCTAAATAGACTCGAACCAACAAAGCTTATCATTTATTTAAAAAAAGACCCATTCTTGGTCTTTTCAAATACACGGGTTGTAAGATTTGAACTTCGAATTTTGTTTTTCAGGTGTCCGACGGGTTTCAAGTGTGGAATCAACTACCAGCCTCCGACAGTGGTGCCAGGCGGCGATCTTGCAAAGACTAACCGTGCGGTGTGTATGATAAGCAACAACACGGCGGTGGCTGAGGTTTTCAACCGGATTGACCATAAGTTCGATCTCATGTATGCAAAACGAGCATTCGTGCATTGGTACGTGGGTGAAGGAATGGAAGAAGGGGAGTTCTCGGAAGCCCGAGAGGATCTTGCTGCTCTCGAGAAAGACTACGAGGAGGTCGGTCAAGATGCCGAGGAGGAGGAGGAGCAAGCGGAAGAGTACTAAATCGAGATTTCGATGTCTCGAAAAAACTATGAATGATTGTCGAGTGATTTTATGAGACTTGAAATCTTTCCCAAAATCCCACATGAAAAAATACATTGGACACCTTCACATTTTGGCATTTTATTTTCTAAGCCATTGGATTAAAATATTATATTGTAAAATAATTACAAAATGCTTGTTATAAATTTTATACATTTTGCCAATCATATCTCATATATTGATTGTATGAACGTTACCCACGTTTTTGTTTCTATTCAATACATGATTTAGGATTGTTTGGCAATTGTTGAATTGTTTGGTGCAGAATGATTAAGTGGTCAGAATGATTAAAATGTTCTCGTGATTTAGTGCAAAATGAAATATAATTATTTGGTAATTGTGTACAATGAAATTAGGGCTCTTAATGGTTAAGGGAGATCCATGATACAAAATCATTCAGAGGGTTTTAGAATCATTAAGAGGCAGATTTTTTTTTTGTCAAACAAGATTCACCTCTTAACGATTCAGAGGTTGTCTCTTAATAGAACTATTAAAAGGTAAACAAACAACCTCTTAAGCTAATTTCGGTTGGTTAATTTGATCAGTTCATTGATGGTCTTAATGTTGATACTACGTGTATTTCGTGTACATCTTACTGGTGGGTTTAGAAAACGTTGTGAATTAACTTGGGTTAGAGTCTTACAGGTGTAATTCTTGGTGTATCGACAATATCTTTTGGTGTAACTATAGTTCATCACCCCAGGACCAAATTGGTTATTGGGCAATGAAAATTGTAATAGGTGTACCTGAAACTATTCCTTAATAGAATCCCCGTTGATGGAATTATTACCCGAAAGGGTAGTTTGGGACAATTCACTTCGACTCATTTTATTGTTACCAAGCCATTTCTATAGTTGAAATTTACAAATGGTTGAAAGGGTTTTGATTAAGTTGTAATACGGGTAGAATATGTGCAAGTGGACATGGGGCACTCAAGGGGGTTTAAATCCCTTGTTGGTAGAGTAAGAACATTTCCAACAGCTATGCTATATTTTCTCTTTCTAAATTGGAAAATTTCTCTTTTCTCTTATTTTTCTCTATTTTAAAGGAGTGTTTAACATAGTTATTGAAATAAACTCTTCCAAATCTTAAAAAAACGTATTTGACGCTCGATGTTCTAAGACGCTGAACAAGTACCTTCATTGGCATTGATACTAATCGATGAAACACTTGACAGTGAGCGTTCACTCAATGTTAATAAAAAATGTATTCATACAAACAACATAAGACTTGGTGTAACGGATATGGTTATAGGGTTGAATTATTATTTTTATAAAGTGGTTTTACATGAACCGATACATAATAAAAATTTTAACCCCAATAATTTGGAGCTCTCAGAAAGCATTTAGTCCACATTTCGGTCAACTCTACACCATCTTCCTCCGGGCTCCGGCTGAGTGGCATGTATTTCCACCGTTCGTTTTTCCAATTATTAAGTACGGTTATGCGATCCGACTCACTCACATTGGGCCTAGTTTCCAAGTAGGTTAGTCGATAACGAGCCAAGAAATACTTAATGAGTGGTTCGCAAAGAAGAAAAAGACTGATTCATCACAAAACCCTAATCGAGGTTCCTAAGCAACACTTTTGGTTACTTTTGCTTTTCCATTAGATCCTGAATGGCTGAATACATAAAGCTATCTATATTGGATATGGATTAATTTTGTCTGTACAAATTGAGATAAAATTTCTTTGAAGGGTTTTTCAATAGATAGGAGGAATAAGTTCTTCAATTGCCAAGGGTAATTTTAGGGGGGAAATTGAACTTTTGTATAGAACTCCCCTAAAAGCTTATTGAATTAGCCACTTTATATAATATTAAACCAAATAAGAGTCACTTATAACTTACCAAATAAGATGGGAGTCCCATTAAGCTCATTACCAAAAAACAGACTCTAAGGTGGTTTCCTTTAGAATTATCGAAGTTTCCACTCTGTAAGGATTTAGATCTAGAATAACGCTTAAATTATAGGTAGAAAAAAACGACTAACAACAATATCTCTTGACTTAATAGTATTTGATGCATAAAAAGATTAAACGAGGGCACCAAAAACAAATACAGAAAATCTAACTCAAAATCCACAATAAGACACTTGTTTTTTTGTAATTGTTCCTCATGAGATATCCCAAAATAAAGCTACCAGAAACAAACCGGACAGCACTTCCTCAACGATTGGCCTTGGCAACTCTCTCGATCTCGTCTTTCTTCTTAATTGCATAGCTGCACAAGAAACATGATCAACCAATCAACAAAGAGGCATTTGGCCCAGTACAACCCATGTTACTGATAGAGCTTGGCCTCCCATACCTCGAGAAGGGTTGAGTGTGTGCAAGTATTTGACGAATATAAATATTACATAATTAAAAAAGATGAAAACAATGAAATTATTACACAATTAAAGCAAATGCTTTAGAATCCAAGTTGCCCATACCTGTTTGAAGAACCCTTGGCAGCGTTGATTAGCTCATCTGCAAGGCACTCAGCAATAGTCTTGACATTTCTGAATGCACTCTCGCGTGCACCGGTGGTTAGAAGATAGATAGCCTGGTTGACACGCCTTAGAGGTGAGATATCAACAGCTTGACGTCTGACAACACCAGCAGATCCAATCCTAGTTGCATCTTCTCTCGGTCCACTGTCAAGTAACAATCACTTAGCATCGATCATAAACCAACTAAGGGGGCTGTTTACCAACACAAATTAGATCTATACATAACCAAGTAAAAGTGCAATCTAGGTAAGAGGTTCAGTGTGGGTAAAAGTGACTGAATAGGGATGTTTCCTATGCGTCTGTGTAAGGAGCTAAATGAAGCACCGAGTCAGAAAGCAATCCTTTCTTTACTGGGTCGGCATCTCAGTCAACATATTTGTGTGTCAATGTGTGTTGGTAAACAGCATCCCTTCATACCAGTTAAGCATCTCTTACCCATTAATAGGCGGTCAACAGGTAGTAAATAGCCCCTAAATGTAATAATGCTACCGATACTAGAACAAGAACCACGAAGCACCTGCTCAATCTACCCAATAACACACCTGGTTCTTATCACAAATCCATTAAACAGAGCTAAATTTGGTGGATCTAGATGAAAAAGCAACCATTAGTATACCTGTTAATGACAGCATCGACAATAATTTGGATGGGATTGGCATCAGTTAACAGATGGATAATCTCCATTGCATGCTTGACAATGCGAACCGCCATCAGTTTTTTACCATTATTTCGCCCGTGCATCATGAGGGAGTTGGTCAATCGCTCCACAATTGGGCACTGAGCCTTCCTGAACCTCCTAGCTTGGTACCTCCCAGCTGTGTGGGGCATGTAGATTGGGTGCTTAGAAGCAGTAGCAGTAATGTAATCTTCCACAGAAAGATCAGGAACCTGTTAAGAAAACTTGTGTAAGTGTCACAGTAAGAGTACTTTAAAATGCTAGTTCTAAAAGAACCAAAATCAACTGAAACAATAGAGTGAAAGATACTTTATATGCTAGTTCTATTGCCCCTTTTTCCTGTGACCTATGTTGATTGTGATTTATGTTAAACTTTCTTACATTTCATACGCGAATTTCAATTGATTGAGGTGAATGTACCAAACAGGTTTAATTAGAATACACTCAACTACAATTCGCACATCTCAACTCCAAGAAACTTGCAACAAAAATCTTCACAAAAATGGCAAGCAATATACGTCACAGGAGAAAAAAGGCAAATGTCATTTAACCCGTTATGAAATGAATTCTACGCAAACAATCATCGATTCGTCAACACGTTATATATGCAACTAATAACTAAAAACTATGAATTTCTTTAACATAACCGGTGATAAAGTTAACCACAAACGTTAATATTGGAACGCCTTGCATACAAATGTTTAGCCTAATCGATGAAGAAATAACCTGAACGTCATCGTAAGTCCATCGGTTAAAGAGCAAAACATCACTTCTAGCCTTGCCGTCTTCCACATTAGCTGCGACCTCCATTGCTGCAGTTCTGAATCAAACTGTCAAGCAAAACAATTCCCAGTTATCGTGTAATCACGGATACAAATATATTTAAATCAGATTCAATAGATCGAACAAATTTGGGCTAGCAGATTCTTATAGACAAATGGATTAAACAAGACGACGATAAATAGTTAGCAAACCTCGAATATGGAGTGGAGAGCAAAGCTGCTGGTTCTAACCTAAGCTCCGTTTCAAAGGACGAAGGAGGTGATAAAACCCTAATTGGCTTTATATCGTCATGTCGAGTGTGAAGACTTGTGTCTTGGGCTTGCTTGTAGGCCCAATTCGTGTTCCACTTCGGAATTCGGATGTTTCACTATGGTCATCACTCATCAGGTCAGGCCTTCGATTAAGGCTGCGTTTTACAAACTAGACGAATTAATTGATAAGACAACTATGAATAAATAATTAATTAATAAAACTAGAAGCGTACTCGCGCAATGCAGCGAGATACATCATGATTTTAATATTTCATTTTTTTTTATCTCAGTCGATATTATAATATGGCTTTATGTGATTTTGAGAAAGCGAT